CTTGGCGATGGCCTCGCGGAGGGGGCTGAGAGCGCACTCGTCGGTGAGCACGACGCGAAAGACGTAGTCCCACTCCATCTGCAGAGACCTCGTCATTGCCGAGTGTTGGCGATTCGTTTACATTGCCGACGTCAGTCAGGCAGTATCGAAAACCGTCGTGCAGTCATCAAGAAAATTCTTCCAAACCGTCAGGAGCAGCTCGAGAGATGCAACATGCAGTCATGAGGAAATTGATTTTTGTCATCAGACTGCGCCAGATGGATCTCCATGTCGGCCAACGACGTTACTTCCGCATCCTCTCGGCCACCGAGGAGGGCGTCAAGGATGCCATTCGTGAGGCCACTGTTTGGAGGGACCAGACACGTAGGCGCATCGGTTGGGACGGCACGGACATGTCAGATTACACGTTCGCCAGCCGGGAGGGTCCGAAGAGGCGAAGGCGGCGGTGCACACGCGTCTGGACTTTTTGCCCCCTCAAGACGAGGAAGGCTGGCCTGACAGGAAGCACTTGTCTGTTGGACTCAGGAGAGATGGACATGATCCCCAAGTCAGCCAGAAGTCAGCAGGGTGTACGTTCGATGTCAGCTCGTGCACGGTGACCACACATTCGACAAGAGATTCCGAGACTGAGTGTTGTCTGCTGACAGAGATGATGTAGATAGGGCTATTCAGATGGCTGTTGAGTATAGAGAATGGGCACGGGATGAGGTGCCTTCGTCGGAGCTCGCCGCTCAGGCGGTGGAAGAACAGGCCAGGGAGGTTGGTGAGGGGGTGGCTATGCGTACGAGGGCTATGCGTACGAGGGCAAGCAAGAAGGGGAAAAGAGAGGAGGAGTTGCCAGAAGAGGACGGTTAGTCATTAGACTTGTAACAAAATGTATGTACATTAATTGATGATCTTTTTATGTCATCAGGTCAGGCAGCCACGTGCACCGACATGCAGTGCATCGAGACAGAACACAGGCAGACGTGCCTCTCTCAATGCAGGGATCCAGCATAGCGAGACGCTGGACCCCACAACGGTCCTGCTTTTGAGCGATTCGCCTGGTGGATGTTTTGGCCATGATCCTTAAGTTTTTTCCATGCAAATCGCATGAGCCGTGACGACCTATTGATCGCCATCACTTGCATGTCAGTTGTATGTACAGATAATTCGACACGCACATGATGACGAGAAACAATGGAAACGGCGTCAGATGGACTGAAAGTCCGTGTACTCGTCATGCACGAGCCGGCGGTCCTTTGTTTTTCCCGCACAGTCGAATCTGCAGACCAACAAATAAATACAGACAAACATCCACCTTGTCCTGCTCGCTGCGGCGTTGGATCCGAACGACGCCAACCTCCTGACCCTATTGCGGGGTGGCGACAATCGCTGTCCAGCCTCGTGTCGCTGCGGGCTGGCGGGCTCACTGGGCGTGTGATGGCCTGTCGATATTGTGACGCGGATGCGATTGGGCGGGCTGTTGGTATGCTTGACCTGACGCGTGGGCGTGGGCGTGTGTGGAGCCGTCCATGCCCGATGGCTGAGGAAAGCAAGAACAAAGTTGCTCTCGTCATGACTCATTTATAATCTGAATACCTCTGATCGACATCATGTTTTCGCTGCGTGTCTCTCGTTGTATCTCGACCCTGTGCACTCTCAAGCGCCTGTAGGATGGCTTCCAGTCGCTCATTCCCCTGAGACACTCGACCGTTTGGAGGCTTCGAGGCATCAGACGATTGTGCCATCTTCTCCAATGCGTCAAGAAGAGGATATAAACTCCATATTGCAGCGACAAACAAGCCACACTTGGCATCTGTGTTTCCGCCCTTGCGTAGCACAGCAGACCATTCATCTCGATTTTGCTTGTGTCGGCGACACTGTGCCTCACACCGTTCCAACACGTCAAGACTTCTCGAGAACTGCAATATGCAGACACGAAAAAAATCAACCTTCAGGGGATCCGTCGTCACTGACCTCCTCTCTTGCGTCGACAACGAGCTTGTCTCGGCTATCCAACTGCCATCGGTTGGCTTCTAGCTCGAATTCCACTGAAATGGGATGAACTTATCGCAGATTCTGCAATTCCGGTCCAGCTGGTGCACGCACCATCGAGAGGCGGCCAGGCATTCTCGTGAGACGACGCCGGTGGTGGAGCTGATAGTTTGCCGGCTGGGAGACGGGAGAGCTGGGCTACCAAGTCATCCGGCAAGTGGAGTGTGAAAGAAATCCCATTTCCTTTGCTGGGTGGGCCTCGGTGGACGTCCAGAAGGTCTCGGGGGCGAAGAGGAAAGTAGGGCATCTGCGTCATCGGCTTGGATCGCGGGTGGGGCGCACGCTCCCAAAACACACGAGGCAGAAGGACACCTCAACAGGTCGTTGCGAAACCCCGTGTTCTGCACCATAAAATGCGACACACACGTCAACACCACACAACATTTAGACGACACACACGAAACCCTTGTTTGCGTCCTCACCTCGATTGGTTTCGTGGGTCTGTCAGACAAAGTCTCGCTCGGCCCCAATTACGGACAGAACACGAACTTTGGGCAAGAGCGTGCCTCGCTCGTAGCTTTGCTGAGTCCCGAATTTCTGGGCGATGGAGAGCGACGCATCGATGCTGGTGGAGCCGCCGCAGCGGCCTGGGGAGACCACTGACAGGCACGTCATCCGGCGCAACATCCAGGGCCTGCTACGGGCCATCCAGCACGAGTATGTGGCGCCCTCCATCTACATCGGCACTGGCGTTGTGCTCACTGCATGGGGCGCCCGGTGCCTCCTGCGGATGAATCGGTTCCTCTCTATGCGGACATTACCTACCAGATCAGGCGGCCCGACAGCCTGGCGAACCGTGTGGCTGCCTTCAAGTGTCTGGTGCCGGGGGGATGTCAATCACCCCTCTTCAAGTCGTGCCCATCTTCAATCTTGGCTTCGTCTATGCCATGAGGTACACACACACACGGACTAGGACAACAGACACACAGTCGGAGCTTACCAAGGAATGTTGGTCTCTCTCTCTCCATCTGTGTGTGTTAGAGTGCGTCCAGGTCCCGATGAGGCCGTGTTGATGCAGCCCGACTGGCAGTACCAGCTGTCCCGCGCCGGCAAGGTGGCCAAGTATAATGTGGGCGAGTGGCTCAAGCATGCGGTCGTGGGTGGCGATGGCCAAGAAGATGACCATGCACGAGTATTACCGCACCATGGGGCTCGATAAGGAGCTGCTGGCTGAGGCGAGGGAGAGGGAGAAGAAGCGACTGGAGGGGATGGGGCAGCCCATGATTGAGAGCGGGGAAGACCTTGTCCGATAGACAGATTGTGAGACAGCCAGAAAGACGGTATGAGTGGTGTGTGGTTGGTCTGGACGCACGTGTCGCTGCATATGTTGGGGGGCTGATACGTAGGGAGCTCAACGTTCGGTCCTCATGTGTGTCTGTACAAGTCCAGCACAGGCATTTATCCACGAGCGATGCAGCTTACTTAGTCCACCCCACAGCGCCCACACATGAGAGCATCCCGCCGTCGTGGTACCCCCACATCGTCCCCTCTGCAACTCATTCTACGCATCAATTGATGGCCCGACCTGACAGGCAAACATACAGCCCAACACACACCATCGGCACTGGTAGCCAAACCGCACGCACCTGTCGTCCTTCGTCAGGTGTCGAGTGGTTTGAGAGTCAGCGCATCTTCCTCACCTCCCCTCCAGCTGATGTCATACCGCCACACCACGCAGAGAGAGGAAACAATGAGGATGTGTGCGTGCCAGTGGTTTGTCTGGTGCATCAAGTATTACGATTTGGCCGCAGCGCTGTGCGAAGGCCTCCAGATCTATGCTGTGTGCGGTGTGGCATGCCGTGGCCTGCTGCTGCTGCTGGCCGTCAGTGTCCATCACGGCCTTTGCCGCTTCGCGACTCGCTCAATCAGTGATCGCCCCAGAGAACGCGATACCACTCTCCTTACGGACCTCTCTTCCGGGCTCTTCCGGGTTTGAGCCCGGAAGAGCAACGCGACGCAACGCCTTCAGCTTTCCCCCACGGCATTAAGCTCACCGGTAGGTTGGCGTACGAACACATGGGGCCTCCGTGCTTTGTCTCTCATACTTGTTTCAGGTGGCCGGTGGGTACAACCGCATTCAGACCATCACCATCGGCCAGCACCAGCACCTTCCTCAAAGTCACCTTCCGCAAGCTCCTGGCCTCACAAATCGCCGACGGACTCGCCAAGGGCAGGATCTGTGTGCTGGCGTCGACCAGGACGACGCACCCCAAGACCTACTGCCTGTGTTATGACGAGCACGACGGGAGGTTCTACATCGCCCAGGTGTGATGGGGGAGTGGGACACTAAGCAGAACCACGAGATGGACGACACGAGCAGGGCCCTACAGGTAGGGAGAAGGACATGCATGCAATGCAATGAAGTGGGTGGGGGAGGGGGAATTAGGGGCTGTGTCGCTGCTGTCTCTTTGTGCAGCTGTTCTCGTCTTTGTGTCCAAGCTGACAGACTACAGCTGCTCGGGCCTCGACAAATCGGCCCCCCGTACTTCAACCCGGGAGAGGAGTTCCAGGCAAGCTCCTCTCCTTCTCGCCATCGTTGCCATGTCTCTGTCAGCCTGCCTGCCTGCCTGCCTGCCTGTCTTTCTGTCTGCCTGTCTGTCGTCTGTCTGTCTGATGTGTCAGCACTTGAGCATCCACTACCTGGTGAGTGTGCTGGGCGAGTGGGGCCGCCAAACAAAGAGCGCAAGACAGTCGACACTATCAAGTCCTACTTCCGCATGGTGTTAGTGGGTGCGGTGCATCGATGTATCCACCCCACCCGAGTACATGTATGTGTTTGTGATGCAGATGTTTGATCCATCTGGCGAGCGCCTGGCGGAGAGGGTCGCGGGCCTCGCGGTCCTTGTGCTCATCGAAATGGGGCACCGACAGCAGCACAAGGAAAAGAGATGTGTTACGTGAGAGCGAGCCCAATGCGGTAAGGATGCGACTGCTGGGCATGGCATTTGCCGGTAGCGTATGTGTACTGCACGGGGCTGCCTAACAGTGCCTATATGAACATGTTTGTCCTGCGGTACGTAGACCCTGACAGGCTGATACATACGGACGCGTGGCTTTGAGGGAATTCTGCCCTCACGACTCATTCGTTTAGCGGCACGAAGGCATCGGATCTGTCTGTATGAGTTTGGCGACGTGCAATGCAGTCGGAGCTTTGCATGCAAGACCCCTGCTTCTCGCTCTATTCTCTCTGCATGTCCGCTCAGCTAGCGATGGACTGTCTCACTCACCTGGCTTAACTTTCTTTTGCTTACTGTTAAGGACCGTCCCTCCGGTTTTCGCCCGCATACCACTGAGACACTCGGGAGTCGGGAGAATTGAAGGGGGAAAGGGGAGGGAGAGGAAGGAGGTCAAATGTGTGTGTACATGTGTAGTGGCTGATTGATGGATGGATGAATGAAGAGTTGTGTCTGCCGGCTTTGTCTGTCTGTCTGTCCGCCTGTTCGAGATGTATCTCTAAAATTTCTCCATCTAGTTTCTGGTGTTCTTTTCACCCTTCTACCTTTTCTCTTTTTGGTGTGTTTGGGAGGTTTTGCAGACGGCTCGGTCAAGGACGGCACGAGCTTTTGGACACGGGGCGTGCCTTTGTGCCATTCAGATGCTTGTATACATGCACGAGTCCGTATTGTGCGTCGTAGCGTTTGTGTCGCGTCACTGTGCAGAATCAACACGACAGCTCGACACCCACAGACGGACACATAAAAGCACAGATGGACACGCGGAGAGATTCTACCATATGGATGCACAACTGACACAATACGCCAAACAGTCGGCAACCTGTCTGTCTGTACACACGTACACGTACACGTATGTGCACTACGTACGCATCACTCATGGATGGAAAGACCGCTGCTCCTTTGCAATGTTTGTGTGTCTCCTAAGCGCTGTATGCATACTCAAAGAACCTACACACGCACACATAGGCCCACAGTGGGAGAGGCAGACAGACAGACAGACAGGCACATGCGAGACGATGTTTCTCGGTCGCGTGTAGGTAGGTTTGTTCTCGCTTACTGTCTGACGATATCGACATTCGGCCCGCCACTCAGGAACGGGTGTTTCTGAAGGACGGGCGGATCACCCAAGCACAGCAGCACATTGACGTTGGCACTCATGCACCCCACCCATTCGTGTCTGTCTGTCGTGTCTGTCTATCTGGCTGTTTGTGTGTGTGCCTACCAGGAGGTCATCAACGGATGCTCGCCTACTGGGGTCGCGCTGAAGACTGCACGAACACATTGTGCACACATCAGGACCCCTTGTGTGTACGCATGCACGTAAACATCCACACGTACCATCCCTCGACCAAATCCCGCAGGCCCTGGTCGTACGCTGCCGACAAACGGGGCTCTGGACGTATAAGCGAATGAGTGAAAGAGAGCCAAGGACACCATGAATGAATGACATGTCTGCCACTGCTGTAGAGCGCTGTGCTGTGTACCCGGTTTGTTGATGAGCACATCAAACAGCTCCGTGAAGTTGTTCTGGTTCTGAATGGGAGGGTCCTGAGAAGAAGTCAACACAGCTCTTGACTCATGTCGTTGATATGCGCATCGTGCTTCTTCCGCTCGATAACGTGTCTGTCTGTGTGCCTGTGTGTCTGTCTTGCCTTTGTGATGAGTTCGTAGAAGACCATGCCCATCGACCATATGTCCGCCGACACGTCATACGCCTGACCCAGCACCCGCTCGGGACTCCTGCACCAGACACCACAGCCCCACCCCACACGCATTGTGCGATCGCCTTGATGGACTGATTATGTATGTGAATGGGTGTGTACATGTGTGCAGCTACGGGTACATACATACATACATGTATATGGAAGTGCCGACGAAGGTGTTGTTCATGCTCGTGACGGACTTGGCGATGCCGAAATCTGACACCTTGATGAAACCTGCAGCCAGACAGGTCAAAGGGAAGGGATGTAACCACAGGCACACTGTGAATAACGAGTCTATGCTGTGTGTCGGTCAGTCAGTGACTGACCTTTGGAGTTGGCAAGTATGTTTTGGGGTTTGATGTCGCGGTGGATTATGGCCTTCTGGTGCAGAAACTGCAGACCCACCAACACCTGCAGCCCAACAATGGATCCGCACAGACAGACGAACAGAGAAGAAATGAATCCACGAAGGAATTGGGTGCACAGATGGAGAGATGGACGGATGTGTGTCTGCATGCCTGGTGTATGATAGCGGCGAGCACTTGGCTGGGTATGCTGATGTTGCGCTTCTTGCAGTGTCGGATGAGATCGAAGATGCTCCCGCGATCCATGAACTCCATCACCAAATGCACCGACGCTGCACCGAGCAACCAACAACCAACCAACCAAGCATACAAACACGTTTGCGTGTGGCGATAAGAACAGCCATGGTGCGAGTCGTATGCCGACTACTCTTACATGCCCTTTCGATGTATGCGCCGATGAACTCGACCAGGAACTGACACCCCTTGGCCTGCACCATGCCCTGCACTCAGCAACGTGTCCACATTCATGAGTTGCGCATACACATGAAGACACAGACACATGCATGCGGTCCGTTGCTCTATGTCCGTCCCCACCTTGAGGTCTCCCAGCAGCTGGTGGCGCTTCCCCCTGTCCTCTATCTTGATCTCCTGCACAAAACCCAAACGCCGTTGCTGCCGTGCACCTGGTCTTGGTTTGTTTGGTCGTCACCTTGAGTGCCACCCATTCGTTCCTGGGCTTGTGAAAGGCCTTGATCACCGCACCTGAGGCGCCCCGGCCTATCACGTTGTTTGGGTCAAACTGACACGCAGCACAACACAACACAACACAACACAGAAAGATCCTTCATGCGGCAGTATCCATGACAGTTGTGGTTGTCTGTCACCTCTAGTTCATCTCTTCTGACGGCAAATTCCTCTCCCTCGACTTCGATGCCCTCCCTGCCCAGCTTGACCCCGGTGTCACGATGCTGCAGGTTGCCTTGCGCATCCCTGAACAGGGACCAACACAACACACACACCACATCCCACCACACAAATGGATCAATGCATTCATTCCTGGATCTCCTCTGTGCACTGCATCTTTGCTTTCTTACACGGCCCATGAGAAGGAGTCCACTTTGGGGTTGAGGGACTCCTCCATGTTCAGCATCGGACGGCGCTGATGCCGCTTGCTCATCGCTGCCTTTCGTTTGAGGGATGGATGGGTGGATGGATGGAGTCGGCAGGCACACGAAGGAGATGCTCTCCGTTTGCCGCTTTTTGGTTTGCTGGAACCCTAGCCAATCTGGGGTTTTATAATCTGGGTTGTGTTAGTCCGTGTCTTATGGATGAAGGGCCAGGGCGGACACAAGACATACCCGGTATGATGACATATACTTCCAGTGCCTCAGCATTGTTCTGTGACATAGACTGAGTGTGACCGACTCAGTCGAAAAACACAGGCGCATGCACGCACGCACTCAGGTGACAAAATGGCCACAGCCACACAAGACACGCCACAAACCACATCGCCGATTGCCATACCTGCCCTCTCCTTTCTTTCTCTCACTGACAGATGATGAAACGAGCACGCACACAGACGGACGGACGGCCATACGAGCAATTCTTCCCATCGATGATGCACCCACCCTCCCTCTCACAAGCCCCCCTGTCACCAAGCCGTGAGGCTGAGGTTGGGGTGCGATCAAAACCGCCACCTCACTCACAAGGCACACTGCACCACTTTGATAACATCATCGCTACTTAGCCCGGTCCAAAATTCTCGACTCAGGAAAAAGGAAGAAGGGGCATGTCACACATTCCCCTACCGCATATCATATGTGTTGACGAGCAGCGGCGACAGCCCGTGGCTCTCCGACACGACGCCCCGCAGCTCCACAGCGACACTGATGTGGCGGAAATTGTCGTGGTGGGGCGTCACCTGCAGGTGGCCACGCAGCGTCACTTTGCCGTCGGGGCTGCTCGATACCACCGGCACTGGCGAGCCATCGCCTTCGCCCTCACCATCCGTGCGGGTGTTGCCGCTCCCCACTCTCTGCTGCTGAGAGGACCCACAAGGCAGCGAAATACGCAGACGACGGCCGTCCTTTCCCTGAAAGCGCGCCCACACCGTAGCATGCATACGTAGCAGGGGAGACAGAAAGTGAAGGCTGAGCCCTGCTCACCCTGAGGTGTAGAATGGTCTGCTTCCAGTGCGTGGGTGGAGATTTTGGCCCTGTCGAGAACCACATGCACCGTCCGCTCCCCTCCGCGCCCGTTGGCCTCTCCCGCTGGCTGGTGTGGCCGTAGACCTCAGATGACGGGTCGAAGAAAACGTCGAAGAAGAGCACAATGCTGGTGATGGTCCGGCCGTAGGGCGAGTGCTGCTCTGGTGTGACGCTGTCGCCTCGATTGCATTGGATGAAGAAGGGCTCTCGGAAGTGCTCGAGCTCTGTTCGTGTGATGGTGAGTAGGTCGATGGTCTTGAGTTGGTATGGGGGCGACACCAGCTGGTCGGGCGAGACGCACTCGACCAGAGGAGTGGCCACGTAGCTCGGGTCGGTGGCGGGCGAGAGGGTCGACAGATCGAGGCCAAACACGGGCTGCTCCCACCGGTCCACCTCCTCCCCAAGACGCGCGTCAAAGTCGGCCGCATACACCTGAAACAACGCATGAACGCCAGAGACACCCAGTACCCACCAGAGGCATTTCCTACCGATTGCCCACCTTGACTTCAACCCGATTGGGCACAATCAGACCGCCGCTTACCAACCATCTACATGGCACAAAACGGAGAGGCAGTTGCTTGCCTCTGTCTCTTGTGGGCTTGCCTACTTCTCTCTTGCATGGAGCACACTGTAGACCATCGACTCGTAGAAAAGCGCGTATCCAAACCACTCACTGACGATGAGGTCGCACCTGAACGGATCCTCTGGGCACCCGGGCGGCACATCAGCAGCGGTCTGCTGTGGGTCTCCTGGCGCCTCGGTGGACAGCAGCGTCCCGTCAACAGACCTCTGCACATACGCGCGCAGGATTTGTGGAGACAGACAGGTGGGCAGTCTAGCCACCAACCAACAAGGCCTACCGCAATCAGCGTGCCACCGGCGAGCGACAACTCGATCTCTTCTACCTGAAGAAAATATTTTGTATGGTCATGGCGAGACCCTCTCTGCCTTGCTCCTTCGCCCACATACTTTTGCGGCGATGATTTTGATGCGATCAGCCATACCATTGTCCTTGACGATTCGCCGGGCCTTGTGAACGATAGACGTCGATGCATCCACACCAACCACCTGAACCACAGACAGACAGACAGAATGGAGGTGACACATGAGGGGCGGATGTGTGCGCGTGCCTGACCAGTTTCGCGCCTGCACGTGCTGCAAAGAGGCTGAGGATTCCACTGCCGCAGCCCACATCTAAGACGATCTTGCCCTCAAACATCTCTGTAGCGTCAAAGACAAACACATACATGCTGGCTGGCTGGTTTACTGGGTGTGTGGCTTCTATCCCAGTTCACCGCCTCCCGTCCGTACCTTTGTTGTGCATGATGAAATCTTGGTAGGCCCCCGTGCGCACCTCATCCATGATCATCTCTGAGCCGTATGTGTGGCATCATCACATTGGTGTGCCATTCTTCGCACGTACCTCTGTGTATAGCGTCGTAGCTGTAGCTGTCAAAATACGCCGAATCCTCGGGCGCACGAAAAGGCCCCCTCCCCCTCTGGGTGTTACCATCTTCCCCTTCATCCTGCTCGCTCGTCAGTCGCGCAATGACGGCTCTCGCGCGCATCAACTGCTCGGTGAGCGCAGCAATCCTCTCCTCTGACTCGCTGGGGCCGCCCAGCTGGGCGGCAGAGGCGCCCTCATATGCACCAGCGTCTTCCCACTCTTCATCTCCGTCAGTGTCCCACAGAAGGCGGTCGTCGGCCATCACGGGCTGCAGGTACTTGTCGTCCATCCAGAAGGGGGAGTCCTGGGACACAAGACAGTCACACAGACAGACGCACATGAGCACATCTCATATCCTTACTCATATATATATTCCACGATTGAGTACCTTGGTTATGGCGCTCGCCACTTGCTTCACGTCACGGCCGTCCTTCTGGGCATGGCGGAGGTAGTTCACTAGAGAGAGGCGGTGGTAGTCGGTGAAGGGCGCAAACATCGCCCTGAAACGCTGCATGTCAAAGCCATGGATCTCTCTCATGTGAGCCCATACGGTATGAACCGACGGGGAGGAGTAGTCATCGAAAAGCGAGACCGCCACGTCAATGTCCACCGAGTCTTCACCTTGATCTTCCTCTGCAGCCTCCTCCTCCTCCTCCCCCTCGTAATCGCTCTCATCGAGCTCACACGAGCTGTTCATATTTGCTCTATCCTGAGGGGAGAAAGACAGACATTCGTCTGACGGGGCCGGAGTGTTAGGGACAGCTGTTCCATCAAACCAACACACGTGGCACCTATGCCGTGCCTTGCTGAGGCGGCGACATGCCGTCAGCGTATTTCTCCGTCATCCGCTCTGTTTGTGCAGCCCCTGCTGCCAATGACAAGAAGCGTCAAGCTGCGACAACGAAGAAACTACAGGCTGCTGCTGCAGGAGATTGGTGCTGCAGGAGAGTCATTCCTCAGATCCACTCTGTTTGTGCAGCCCCTGCTGCCAATGAGAAGAAGCGTCAAGCTGCGCCAACGAAGAAACGACAGGCTGCTGCAGGAGATTGGTGCTGCTCGAGATCTTCATTCATCAGATCTATGAATCCTGTGTTGTGCCTGCAGAGCCTGACAGCATCACACCCCGCCGCCGCTTTCTTGTGCTTCTGGTAAGTGGGCGGTTGCGGGTGGCTGGATTACATTCATTCCCCCTTTGACGTCCTCACAGGGCGCCGCGGTAGTTGCCCTTGGTGCCAATCTGTTCGGCATTACTTCGGCTCTTCTGCGGCTGTCACCTGAGCAGGCAAGAAAACTCAGGCTTGATGTGATCTACCCCATTGATGGATTTAAAAGGCAAGCAGCACACCGAGAAGGGAGGCAAGGGATGCGCCGTACATGTGAGTGCCGTCTTGTTGCTGCGTGCAGGTACGTCAATGAAGTGGATGGGTACTCGTACCGGCTGGGACCTGCCCACCGGTACACACGAGAAGCGGCACACGTCAGCCACTACTTGAAGATGGTTACGCTGAGCGACATTGTGTTGTCTGTTTGTTCCCTCCCTCTGTGTCGATTTCCAGCCAATTTGATGGGTACTTGACTCTACAAGAACGAGTTCTTGTACCCATCAAATTGGCTAGCAGACGTCGCGCTGTACACAGCAAAGGTACAGCAAAGGCCGACTGTCTGGATCGATGGACAGACACCTGTTTGCTCAACTATGGTGTTGTTTGACTGTTCAGGATGCCGCTCGGCGGCCATTGGCTGCATCATTTGACGAGGGCCGGCCTGTTAAGAGGGCTGCTGCACAAAGCGAGGCACCCGATGTGGCCTTCGGACCGCCCGGGGGTGGAGGAGACGCCAAGGTGAATTCAGCACACGGATGGATGGATGGATGGATAACACGTCACACATTGACGGGAGGTGCTCTGTTTGCCCTGATGTATCAGGAGAACGTCTCGGTGGTGAAGAGCACTTTAAGGCTGACGGATGACCGAGCCTTCTTTTCTCTCCTCGGGCCGCCAAAGCAGGCAAATACACCTCATCTGTTTTGTGTGCGTGTGCCACCTGTGTCATGGTAATATATGTATGAATGCAGGCGGCTGAGACTCTGTTGCGCGAGGCGATAGCGCCAGAGGGCTCAGGCAAAGTCGCCATGCTGATTGATGCGCTCAGCGAACAGAGAGAGCCAGGAGGGTCAGTGAGACAGCTGCTGGTCGTTCACCTGACCCACCGATGTGTCTTGTGTGCGATGTTTCAGGGAGGTGTATTTGTTTGAGTACATCGTCAGGGGGGTTGTCCAGCCATTCGAGTACAACAACCTTTCTGTCATCGCGTGTCGAGGGGACAAGCTGTTTTCCCTCACTGTCGTGTCGCCGGAAGACGAGTGGGCTGCCGAGAGCGACAAACTGCGACGGATGGCGAACAGCTTTCGGCTGACCAGATAGACACCCAGAGAGATAGACAAGGCCACACACCAGCCCCGCTGCGGGGCTGTGAGGTGGCTGGCTGGATCTGGGTCCAGAATGTGTATGTCACGTTGCATGTCTCACGCTTGTTTGCAGTGTGCGACATGTTTTCGCCGTCAATGAGCGTTGTCCATTGTTTCTGCTGATACGAACTGATGCTTAGACGAACTTCGTCGCCCGTTTCATGGATCTACTTAAACTCATCGATAGACAAGAAGGAAGACAGACAGTGCTGTCGCTTTATCCACGGCCGCGGACGTACGAGGCAGCTAGGCGCGGGCGACAGCCGTTCAATTACAGCAGGCAGCCACGCATCGATGGATGCATCCATGCATTGGCGGATAGAGGCTGAACGGGTGGGTGAAAGAGCAGTGCGAGACGGTCGGGAGCTCCAGGTGGTTCCCTGTATGGTGGTTGTGCTTGTTGTTTTCAGGAGATGCAGGTGGCTGAGAAGGAGGCCGAGGAGTTTCTGGTGCAGGGCATGACGGCGAAGTAGACAGACAGACAGACAGACAGTGCCACGATGCACGTGTGCGTCTCTGTGCTCGCCCGTGTGCGTGTCTCGTACAGGGAAGAGTTGACGGAGACCATCATGACGATGTTCAAGGAGTTTGACAAGGACGGCAAAGGATTCGTTTCCAGGTCAGCGTCGCTTGATACGTGTTGGCTGCTGTGTCTCTTAATATGTGTACATCTCTCCCCTTGTGTGCAGGAGTGAGTTCATCGACACCATGTGCAGCATGGAGCTCGGGCTGAACCGGTCATCTCCATGTCTCTCTTGCCCGCCTGCATCGATAGCCTTGTTTGTGCCTGTGTCTGTGTGCAGTCGTGAGTTGAACGCACTGTTGTTCCACGTGGTCGACCAAGACAACGACGGCACCATCAACTACAACGGTACCGACACAAAAAGTGCATAAGTGAAGGCGCTTCTCTTTCGCCGTGGGGTTCAGAGTTCGTGCCGTTCGCCTACGACATGCTGCACAAGCTCGGTGAGTAAGGGGACGTATGTGTGTATGTGTGTGGAGAATCCTGCCATCCCTCTCGTCTTTGTCTCTCGTGCAGCGACGTTGCGTCTGTTGGAGAATGAGAGGAAGCAGGATGAGCTGGCGCAGTTCCTCAAGGACTTGTTCGATCGAGAGACACTGAGGTAAGTACTGCGTGTGTCTCAATCCATGCGTGTGTCTCTGTCTGTCTGTCTGTCTGTGATCAGATGAGCGGTATGCTGGACCCTGACGACATGATCGACCTCATCCACTCGGTCAAGCTCGGCCTCACGCGCTTCCAGATCTACACCGTCATGTCCGAGGCCACACTGGTCAGGCAGACAGATGCAGCATGGCCAGGCAATTGATGGCTCACGTGTGTCTGTGTGGGTGCCTGCAGGAGCCCGACGGCCGTGTGTCGTACGGAGACTTCATCCCCCGTGCTGTCGGTCCGTCTCAGACACGCAGCCAACACATGACCAATCCATCCACTTATCTGATTCCTCTCTGTGTGTGAGGCGTGCAGTTGTGATCCCTTCGATGCTGTCGTTTGAGAAGAGTGTGCGTGCACAGGAGGTGGACAGCATCGGAGACGAAGCCGCCGCTGCCTTCGCATCCCAACTGGAACAGGCAGGCTGGCCACCACACACAGCCCAACAACTGCAGTCCTGATGTCTGCCTCCCTCCCTGTCAGGCGTTGGATCGATGTGGCGAGGAGTTGAGTGCCAAGGAGCTGTCTCATCAGCTGACCGACGCCGCCATCGACGAGCGGGAGGTCAAGACCCTGCTCACCGCCTGCCCGAGGGTACATATGCACACTCACGCGGATGTCATCGACGTGGATGTCTGTGTGGTTGTGTGTGGTTGTTTTACTGGTGCTTCAGACGCCTGAGGGTCAGTCGTGTGTGTGGACATCAAGAAGACGGCCTGGCCGGTGGTCAAGCAGGTGCGGCTGCACAAGAAACACTTCCACTCCTGAACACGATAGACAGGCCAGCAGTGAGGGAGCGTCACCTCGATTGATGCCATGTGTGAGGGCGACCCTTGTGAGTGATCGATCGACTGCCGAACAGACACGGGCAACGCCATTGAAAGGTCATGTCACACTCGGCTCATCGCGAAGCTGTCCACAGTCCGTCTATCTGTCAGTCTAAGCAAGAGGGCACAATTGCGTGAGGCAGATCCTCCACTGCACTGATGTGTCCAACCCCAGGGCCATCGATGCAGAGCCGCCTTGTGGTCGATGGCCTGCCAGACTGGAAACATAAGCGCAGGACGAATCGCCACGAAGCACACCGACAGAAACAGATCAACCTTCCTTCTCTCTGGTCATGGCATGCGGCAGCTGCCGTATGGACCGCACACACACTCCACTCATGCTCCCACTGACGGATCTCTTCCCCCGCCTCATCCGCACGCAGCCACCGGCATGTGAACCGACGGCTCCATGCCGACGAGGATGCAAGTAGAGATACATCACTTCAAGGACGCGACCACACACATAATGCCAGCATAGTGAAAAGCCCAAAAGCTCATCTCTCTCATCACATCGACTATACACCCGAGGCAGGATATGAGCTGCCGAAAGACAAGGCATGCCATGCCATCCCATGCAACGCCCCCCACCATTGCAAATCACTGTGCTGGCGGGTGTAGATGGAATTGCGACCAACACACCGACGAATTGGTCGCAAAATTTACATCAAGCTCGTGCAAGCAGATGCTCGTCCGAGCAGATGCCGTCCAAGCAGATGCTCGTCGTGCAGCTTCATTGCTTCTGCTCGTGGTGCAGATGCGGTGACCCATGACGGCCTGCATGCGTTCCAACCTAAGTGGCTGATCTTTGTGAACACCCACAAACAGCCGAGATCGGGGACGCCAAAGCGGGGCCAAGCGAGCACAACAGAAGCAGCGAAGTGAGCAATTGAGCGGGTCCCACACTTTTACATATGCGCTGTTGCTTTGCTTTGCTTTGCTCTTAGGTCATAACGCTGGGGGTTCCCGAGTCGAGGGAGAAAGCAAATGGGCTCGGCATTGCCCTCCCGCACGCAACCGTCTCGCAGCGATGCATCTGCGGCGGGGAGGTGGACAAGTTTGGCGATCACTTCTACGT